TATAATGAGAGGGTTTGGATGGCCGGGTCACGTGACAAAATAACTTATTGTTCTCGGTCACGTGGAACTTATAGTGCATGCTTCGAGGTGTTTACATATACGATAGTATAAGAGTTTAAGCCAAACAGAGCCTAAAAACATTAAATTTCATTGAATTTTCCGCGATGCCGGGAGCGAATTGCTCCATATCGGCTGTGGTACATGTCGAAATAGTGCTGGAGTTGGAATTTTTCGGATCCCTTCAGGAAAAGACGCATTATCAACGAAAACTCGTGAAGCGTGGAGCAACATAATTACAAAGGACCGCGTAGTGGATGAAAATTTGCGAAGGCAAATAAAAAAATGGGACGTTGCATGTTTGCGAGAAGCACTTCAAGAAAGAGGAATATGAAATGTACTTATTTAGACATTATTCTTAAGACTTTATAGTTTAATAATAAGACTTTACAGTGTAAGTCTCAGGCTTTTTACACTTTGTTTATGCTGTCCCCGGAGCCCATCGTTGTGTGCACGGTTAATAGAATTAGATGGTTAGGCTAGCTGGACCACGTGACAAATATGTTATTGTTCATTTTTATTTTTGGTCACGTGACGAGGAAAGGGGGTGCTTTGTGATGAGTGATTAGGAAAACATATGAGTGAGAACATAATATGCCAACAAAAGATCATATTTCAAAGCGCTAGAGGGCTTCTGAGATCAAAATGGAAATTGAAACAGAAAGCGAACAAACATACGAACCTATTTTGAACGTTGGAGATGAAAATATCGAAGAAAGCGAGCGTCGTGAACAGTTTATGATCGAGGGGACGAAGGCTTTGTTTATACACCGCGTTTGGATAATTGTATTTTTGCCGTTGTTTTAGTATGTCAGGATACGGTTAAACATTTGAAGTAATATTGAACAGTATGGTTGGCTCTAATTGTGCTTTGTATGGCTGACCGACCAGCAGAACGCGTGAATTTGCAATTTTTAAAATCCCTGTTGTTGGCGCAGCCGATGTAATCTGCGTAGGAAACTACAGCCGATGGTGAACAAGAAGAGAAATGCTCGCGAAGAATGGCTTCGAATTGTTTTAAAGGACTAGAGAAAAGACGGTAGATCTTCAGAAACAAATAAGATTTTCCTTTGTGAGCGTCATTTGAAGCATTGTAAATTTTGCATTTTATGCATGTGCTTGTGTGATCAGATGTAAACAAAGAGGGCATTGTATTTGCATATTTACATATCCCATGTCTATTAAATATCTATCTTCTGTAGACCCCAAACGAAAGATTTCATAACTGGTAGCGTATCACTGAAAATTTACCTACAATAAACACGAAGTTCCCAAGGCTGAGCGTCGCATTCTCAACGTATAAATACCAGATAAACAACCTACAAGCTTCGAATTACACACGTTAGTTCAGTGGCTGGCGAGGTGGCTGGTGTGTCCAGTATTGAAATTAAAACTGATGGCAGATTTAGATAATATGCAAATATGGAAAGTAGAAGAAATTCAAGATAACCTAGGACTAAGGAGGTCCAAGGCTCAAAAAGCAATTTAAAATGCAAAAACAATCTTTAAGTTTTTCACTATCATATGAAAATGGTCTATGCTTGTTTTGTTCCAAAAGTGGTATATTGCATGTAAATATTTTTTGTGGTCACTCGATTTTCATACCAAGATTGGTGAATTAAAGGCCATGATATTATATTATCTGGTATTCAACAGAAGTAAAGTCAAATCAGGGTACATCAAAGTTTTAATGGGTTAATTAGGGGCTGATTACACATGGAGCATTTTCAACCCTGGGGTTGTCTCCTACAGATCTACAGTTGGGACCTACGAGGCCTGGACTGAACCCTCGCCCTTGTCTGTAATACAAAATGCTATCAAAATCAAATGCATGATTTCCAAATTTTCAATTCAGGGCCAAGTTCAACCCCGCTTCAGCTAGCAGAGTTAAATTTCAACCCCAGATTGGACTTCGCCTTGGGTTGAAAATTTTATCATGTATCGTTACTCAAGCATTTGATGAGGCTGGTTTTTGTTTTCACTTCCGGGAATGTATAGCATTTCAACCCTGGGATTGAGATTGTCCATGTAATCGCAAAATATTCAACCCAGTTATGTAAACATGGTTGAGTTCAAACCTGTGGTTAAAAGTGCTCCATGTAATCGTCCCCTTAGTGTGGTGTGATCCGCCTACTGTGGGGCAGGGCTGTACTGAATGGTGGCAGATTACCATAATCGAATCACTTCTATTTCGACCAGCCAATAAGGTTTAATTAAAAACAATATAATTATTGTATAATATATGATAAAATTATTGAATTATAGAAACAGTGTTCTGAACTTCTGACAATCTTTAACAATTAAGAAGTTTATCAAGTTTTATATGTTATCGCATCCCCTTTCTCAATCACTCAATGCCTTTTCTTTGACTGCCATTCATTAATTAATGCTATACTTTAAAGATGCGGTACAGTCCGTATGTAAACAAAGGCTTTGTTTACACTTCGGTATCCAAAATATTGAATTTTATTCCACAACTAGTTATATTTTCAATTCTAGAAATTATCAAGAGACAACAATCAAGCTTTGCAAGAACATAAAATGAAATAATGCACATGCACAGATTGGACTGTACATGCCGCATCTTTAATAGTAATAAAGTCTCTGGTGTAGGAAAATGCTCCGACTGTTAAATAAAGTTTAACTATATTTTCCGTACAGTTTCTGTGCAGAGTTCGAGGGTTGAACTTCACGAAAAATCACAGCATTTTCCAACAATGCCGACATTTTGCTGGTGTAGTGTTTTATAAAAATCCGATCAAATATGCTCAGGAATATATTTGCTACTTTATAGTTCACACAATTTTATAGCTGCTCACACAAACGAGGAATCAAGCCATATAAAAACATTCTAAAAGTTTATCTTGATTGTTCCTTGGATAGAATGTTGTGTAAAGTGGCCATGCAAAGCATCGAACAAAGCATCAGTAGAGGAAACAGTAGCCAAACTGACCTGAATCAATGTAATATAATCAAGCCACGTCCTCTAATAGTCAACGCAGCACGAGTTTTGTCCCTCCCTTTACTTTATAGACTTGCACACTATCTCTCACTGACTAAAAGGAAAAACCCTCTCGCCATCAATTTCTTGTATAGCTTCGGTGAATTCAGCGTCTGTTTCGTCTAACTGTATTTCCGTTAGAGCAACAGACACATCAAAGTTGTATAAATCCTCTGCGGTTGCATCGTCTAGTTGCGATAAATGTCTTCGCCCTTCGTCCTCTTATGCCTCGATCATAAACTGTTCACGACGCTCGCTTTCTTCGATATTTTCATCTCCAACGTTCAAAATAGGTTCGTATGTTTGTTCGCTTTCTGTTTCAATTTCCACCTTGATCTCAGAAGCCCTATAGCGTTTTGAAATATGATCTTTTGTTGGCATATTATGTTCTCGCCCATATGTTTTCCTAATCACTCATCACAAAGCACCCCCTTTCCTCGTCACGTGACACAAATAAAAGTGGTTCTCGACATAATTTGCCGCTCCCTTTGAAGTTTGCCGGCTAGCCTAACCATCTAATTCTATTAACCGTGTTGTGTGGTACGAGATTGGCTGATTTTATTGTTAATTTTCCTCTGATAAATAGGAATTTGCCAATTAGTTAACTTAAGAATGACATGAGTGTTCTTACTGTGTATGTATCTATTTATTTTCTGAAAATTTGTCATTTATCAAAAGTAGGTGGAGCAAAAATTGCTGCAATAGTGTTATTAATTCCACAGCCAAGCTAGAAGTGCAAATGTAATTTGTATTATGCTCAAATCATACACTACACAATGTATGTTTAATTAAGCCACAATGCTCCTACTTTATCGTTTTAACATTTGTCTGATGCCATATGATTTTAACTCTTTAAGCTGCAATGCTTAATATGCACTGCCCTTGATGTGTAAAATTGTCTGATGATAGACACTGACAGAGTAAAAGAATAAAAGAGCACATTGAGATATGTTAGCCTATTATCTCCAATTAGCTTATTTAAACTGCATGACTAAATTTGGCTGAACATTACATAATTGAGAGAAAGTAGTTTAAGCTGTGTGTATATATTTATATATTGTTGTTATTACTATGTGTTGATGAAAAGATTACACATAAAAATATGAGGATAATTCATTGATACAGTATCATATTTACATTTAATATCATTGATATAACGTTATTGTATTATGTACCTGACTATTTCTTTCCTTCACTGGCAATCTTCAAGCAGAGACGGATTTTCATATTTTCGTTCGGGGTGTGTGGATAAATATCTGGGGGGGGGGGTGCTGTTTGCTTTGAAAGGCCGGGGCCTGGTGGCAACACCCGGAAAGGCCAAGGAAAAAGTTTAACAAAATTTGTTTTCTAGGCCTGCATGGTGAGATCTGATCATCTGAGACCATAATATTGGTAATTTTACAAATTTAGTAAGAATAATCAAATATGAAACTATCAAATCAAAATATATATAATTTGCGGGAGTGCCAAGACTTTTGGGGGCTGTGCCAAATGCCTCTGGAGGGTGCAAATCATTTCTGGGGGGGGGTTCCCACCCCCGGAAAATCTGTGCCTGTCTTCAAGTCTTTTCATAAAGCTTTCTTTTTCTGTGTACCCTGACTTATCTTATATTTATTTACAATATCCTTAGCAAAGGAAAACATCTTACAGTTACATATAATTTGACTGAACATTCTCTAAACATAAAGATTGACATTCCATGGAAGTTTCTACATCACAGTTTTGAATAATGTTGCACCACAAGTTTGTCACAAGAGGAGAAGTTAGGACTTCATTCACAATTGTGTCTACTGGTAGACAGTAACCTTGTCTTTATTTGATGTGTGTTTTAAATATTAACTCTGACACCTTGCAATGCTTACAATCCATGAGTGTGGTGACCAAAGTCCACCCCTCAACAAGGATGAAATGTATTTATTGGCCTCTGTGTCCTGTCGCATTGATGACATCGAGGCTTGGACTTCTTTGTTCCAGGAAGAATTGCTCCTATAACAGTTCTTGCTTTTCTGGTATAAAGATCTTATCACATAGCCAGTCAAATATGATAATGGTCCAAGCTCCTGAGGTGACAAAGACAATTCTTCCTAAAATTCAAACAAGAATCTATGATTAATTATTCTAATTACATTTGTTTGGCTCTGAGAGTGAGACTGCCCTTTGGTGGCACAGAAATATTATCTTAGATGCTTCCCTTGACAGGTAAAATCGCCTGGCGTTAAACAGAGTAAATACTAAAGTAGGGCATACGTTATACAGTTTTTCGTCAACCAACTGAACCAAGTGTGGACCGATATCACGTATTAATTCGGCAACTTTTTCTACTAATATCACTGTTTGAAATGTAGAAGATCCCTCACCGAATTCTGCAACATGTTTCATACTGCGTCGCGGTGTCTTGTCAGGCCACCTTTGGATTTGCAAACTTTCTCACAGAAACTGCAAATCTGCAAGGAAACTGTTTCTTTCCTTCAATCTAGAGACGATGTATTGAAAGGGAAAATATTCATTAGGTAAATATCTATGTTTACAGTAATATATGTATAAAAATCATCGTCTAAATTTTATATTTCATACCTCTTCAAGCGCTTGTTGAACTTCAATCTGAACTTCATCCACGTCCATCTCGAGAAGCGCAGTTGTTTACTCTAAATCGTCCTCAAAGGTGAACAAGAGCTTTCTAAACGCTCAGTATCAATTTCCTCATCTATTTCCATGATTCCAAACCTTAAACGTGCGTTTTCAACGACCATTTCGAACGGCTTTAGCAGTATGACTTTGCTTCACTTGAAATTGATACTATACACAGCGTCAGCAATTTGGGTTATCACACATAAAAACGTCTCAAAAGTTGCCACTTACGATGGAGATTTGCGATAAAACCTCGTATTCCACCCAAACCTCGTATAACGAGCGAAAATTAAAGATTTCTAAGTTGTCAATAGGGAATTGTATTATAGAATCACGCCATGATGCACTATAACTGTCACGTGATGCCCTCTATCGAGTTCAGCTCACGAAAGGGGGCGTTATCCTTTGAAGTTTGCCGGCCTTCCAAACCCTCTCATTATATTAACTATGGGCAGCGTTACCATGTTGACCGTCATGGTGAACTTGCCCTAAAACAGTTGAGATTATCTGTCCTAAATGAAATGCATACAAACTCATATACAGGTCCTCGACTACAATAAGTTAGAGTTATAAACCGAGAAGGAGGTTTATAACTGATATATTGCCCCCGAGGACGCGTAGCGTCCGAGGACAATATATCAGTTATAAAGCGACTTTCGAGGTTTATAACTAACTTATATCACATTTGTGGAGGTTTTCTAACATATTTTGTCATTTTCAAAAAATTTTAATGAAAAATTCTCCCGTTTAGTCTACAAGTTTAATCTAATCATTTATTCAAGGTATATAAGCTAGTTATAAACCTCGGACGATCAAAGAAAACCGACACAAATGTGATATAAATATTTTTAAAATACTCATTAATAATTCATAAACCTTGTGGCAAATCATGTCGGCCATAATATGTCACGTGGAGTGACTTTATATCTGATAAAACACATGTGGCATTATATAATTGTTCATCTTAATTAGCATGATTATACTATGGTTCATCCTAATTAGTATTCTTTTGTAGTCGTATTTTATGCTATTCAAAACACTCGTTGTCGTGTTTTATCAGATATATAACGCTCGGCTGCGCCTCGCGTTATATATCTGATAAAACACTCCTACTCGTGTTTTAAATAGTACATACAAACAATATACGAGCTTAGCTATCCGCAATAACCATTTAGGGCTAATCTAGTCGGATAGCTATTACACAAAAAATTTAATATATAATAATTCGCGGTAGACAGTATATACGGTATGTAGGTTTTCGAACAACGACAGAAGACATGACATTAAACACAATTACATTACAAGACACACTTATGAGTCAGGTAAATGGTAGATTAAAATGTTGATACTTAATCACGTATGCTACTTTAATTTTCGCTATCATAGTGACTGATCATTTGACTTTTAAATTTCTTCTTAAATTTTTTTACGTTAAGAATTTTTAGAGACTCTTCAATTGAATTTTTGGTCCGCTAAATCTAATATTAAAAATTCCATAATTGGTACGGGGTAAAGGTAGCGCATATGTTATTACTTTTGACGCCAACCTGGTATAATGCGCATGGATACATTTAATTTCACTGAAAAAGTGGTCAAAGTCAACCGGGAGCAAGCCATTACAAAAACAGAGCATGAAAATATACCAGTGTGCAACTTTACGATATCAAGTAATTTCAATAGATTGAGCATTTTAAACAATGGTAAGGTATGCGCTCGATAATCAGAAAATGTTATAATACGAATTGCCTTCTTCGTAAAGTGACCAAGGGACTTAAATTTGTAATATATGTGTTTCCCCATAAGAATAAATAATTGCATTGTACATTTGTAGCAATATTGGAATAGATACAAAGTGACGCAACTTCGTCAGAGTGCCTATTCCTCTGGAAATCTTTTTTGATAGTTCCAATATACGACTCCTCCAATTTAGGTGAGAATCAATAAAAATACCTAAGCACTTTATACTTTGCTTTTCCCTAATTTGTTGTTCTTGCATTTTTAAAATTAGACTATAGTTAATTTTTTTCTGTGCTGGGTGAAATACAATAAAATTTGTTTTTTCTATATTTAGACATAATTTATTTGCACACAACCATTTATCCACCATGGGCAACTGTTCATTGAGATTTTGTTCTAGACTTTGAAGATTTTTATGAGAATAAAATAGATTAGAGCCGTCAGCAAACAAATGGAAATCTAAATTAGTAGCTGAAAAGCTAAAATCATTTATGTATATATTCAAATAATTTGCTGAACACATGCCAATCTGGATTTCGACCGTTTCATAGTACCCTAACAGCGTTGCTAGAAGCCACAGGCGACTGGTTCATGAATATTGACAATGGCCTAATTAACGGAGTTGTATTTATTGATTTAAAGAAAGCTTTTGATACGATAGATCATCAAATTATCCTGCAAAAGCTTAAAAATTATGGTATTGACGAAAACAATCTTACCTGGTTTTATTCATATCTCACTGATAGAACTCAAAAGTGCCGGGTAAATGGTCAACTGTCAGATTCTGTGCCAGTGGCCTGCGGTGTCCCTCAAGGTAGCAGGCTAGGGCCATTGCTATTCCTCATCTACATTAATGATTTACCGAACTGTCTTGATCATACAACTGCAAGAATGTTCGCAGATGATACAAGTATTAGTTATGCGTCCGACTCAGCCAAAGAGCTCCAAAATGTCATTAACACCGAATTGAAAGGTCTAAGCGATTGGCTAACCACTAATGAACTAAGCTTAAATATTGTAATAACAGAATTCATGGTAGTTGGATCTAGACAGAGAATAAAAACACTAAATAATGAAATAGATATTGAGATAAACGGTAATATGGTCAACCTGCAGTTACTTCGGTAAAATCTCTGGGTGTCCATCTTGATAATCACCTTATGTGGTCTGAGCATACTGATAAACTATGTAAAAAAATTGCTTCAGCCATACGGGCTTTAAAACGTAAAAGATCCTGCATTTCAACGAACACGGCTATCCAAGTATATACCAAGCACTGATTCAACCTCATTTTGACTACTGCTGCTCGGTCTGGGATGGTCTTGGCGAAACGCTAAGTTCTAAACTACAACAATTACAGAACCGGGCGGTCAGGGTCATTACGAGGTCCAGCTATGACACTAATGCTACTGTGCTTCTTGATACTTTACACTTGGATAACTTATCGTTGAGACGCAAAAAACTTAAAGCTGGCTTGATGTTCAAAACACTCAAAGGTGACACACCTGCCTATCTACAAAATCTTTTTTCAGTTCGTGGCTCAGAATATAATCTTAGGAACTTTGAAATGAAATGAAATCTACCCAAGCCACGAACTAATTATCTGAAGCGAAGCTTTCAGTACAGTGGAGTAGTGCTGTGGAATAGCCTTCCCGAAAATATAAGAATGCTCCAATCGTTTGCTCAGTTCCGGAAAGCTGTAAACAAGTATTATAATAGTTTAGATGAACTCCGAATTTCAAGGGGTGACGTTGGATAAAGCATAAAACTATATGACAAATCGGTTTGTTTAAATATTGTTGAAATGAATTATTTACTGTGGGTATAGTATTAGCAATATCAGATCCAACAGTTGAAAAATATTCATTAAAAGCATTTGCAATTTGTTTTGAATTTGTTATTTTAGTATTGTCTACTTCTATAGTTGATGGGCTAGTTACAGATGTTGTTTAAGAGTAACTAATTCTTTTATACCCTTCCAAATATTTTTCATATTTCCATTATTAATATGAAAATAATTATTATAATAGGATTTTTTGCTTATATTTAGTAAATGTTTAAATTTATTTCTGTATAATTTGTATTTCAAATGAAAATATTCATTTCTATTTCTTAAATAGGATTTATATAATTTATTCTTTTTCGCAATAGATACCTTAAGCCCTTTTGTTATCCATGGTTTAACAAGTGAGCACTTTTGTTTTTTGGACAATTTTTTCATAGGAACATGTTTATCAATAATTTCTGAAATTTTATTGTAAAAAGAATAAAAAATAAGATTCACATCTTCTACTTCAGGTAATGTGTGCTCCCAGCTAATTGACCTAACCTCTCCCACAAATTCTTCCTCTTTGAAATTAGAGTAATCTCTATGATACATATTTTTAGCTGTAGACTTGGTATTAAATTTGCTAATTATAAGAAAATTTGGAAGATGATCTGATATATCACTCAAAATATTGCCACTGACACAATGATGCTCAAGTGAATTCAAATAAATATTATCAATTAAAGTAGCAGTGTGATCAGTAATCCTAGTAGGTTGCAGAATATGTGGTTGAAAACAATAAACTGACATATTATTTATAAACTCCTCAGTTGGATTATGCGATTCATAATTCAATAAGTTGATATTAAAATCACCCATCAAAATACAATATTTTCTTTCATTGGGGAGTTTGTCTATTACCTTAGTCAGGTAATGATAAAAGCTATCAAGATTACTATTTGGATGTCTATAGATAACTGAGCAAATTATATTACTTTGTGACTTCCTGTGAATTTCAATAGACAAAACTTCAAATTCATCTGTAGATATTGTCAAATCACTACGGTCATGAAACTCACAGTCTTTTCTAATATAGAAACCCACACCTCCAGCTTCTATATTACTAGGTTGAGAAGTGAAATGATATCCTGGTATACTAATATTGGATACTAGAGACTTTCCTACCCTTATTTTTGTCTCAGTTAGAC